AGTTAAAGGTCTGTAACTTTCAGAGTATATGTAAAATTGTATGCTGAACAAGTTTAATTAAGGCACCAAAGTTGGTTTTAGTAAAATAAACAGTTATTCATGATTATATTACTGCCGAATTTTTTGTTATTTTGTGTAAAAGAATTTATGAAAAGAATTTGTTCTTAATTTTTTTGCCTTTTTCTAGTCTTTGTCAAAAGGCATAATTTAATAAAAATTAGAATCACATAAGAAAAAATGCTCAAACACACTTTTATATAGAACTGTCGAAGCTAATATTAAATAAACAAAGTTTCAACAAATAGGGATATCAAGGTTTGGTTACTGACTAGATGCAAGTTCAGAATAACATCTGATCATGGCATCTTCAAAGTTTTGTTATCTAAGTTATAAGCTATGAATCCATTTCACACATTCACAAACTTTACTTGAAATATTCTTAATTGTTTTAAGACTATTTCTAACTATATAATTCAAAATATAAGTATAACAACATTGATGTAAAAAAATACTATTAGCTATGACTATGTTTTTTTTATTAAGATTGTTTTTATATTATTAATTGTACATTATTACTAGTTGCATTGTCTACAGTAATAGACAAACTTTTTATACAATATCTCAATTACTAAAACATTTAAAAAGCATTTTATTAATAGCAACTCTTATATATAGTGCAGAAACTAGTTTCAATACTATAACTAATTTTTGAAATTTCTAATTAATATTAATAAAATAGCATGTAATGGCCATGTACCTAAAAGTTTGGTTTGATGTTTATAAATCTGTTGTATAACTTAAATTTTCTAGTGCTTCATAAATTATATACGAGCTGCTGATTTAAGATTTTCAAAGATTTTTTGAAAGTCTTTATAAACTGTTTTTTTACTTATCATTTTAAATTGTAGCTATAAATTGTAAATAAAGATTAGAAATTCTTTATGCTTAACTATACAAAATGTTTACATATGCATAATAATCATATTAATCAAATCTTAGCAATTTCTTTCTTAAAAAATTTATAAGTTACAATACCTAATAAAAAAAGCTGTAGTTTTGGTTATAATTTGTCAGTTTTAAGATATTTACTACATTTTGTATTTTTTATATAATAAATTAATGTACTAGTTTCTGTTATATTACTATGCTTTATTACACTCTTATAGTATACTATATGCATTAAGCATAATTCTCTAATAAATTATATATTACAAAGTTTTAGTATTTTATTAAATTAATAATTGCAATATTATAAAACATGAACTTTTACTTTTTTTAGAATGCTCAATAAAATGACTTTCTCTATAAACCTATGATATTAGCTTGTATTTTTTATTACTGATAATAATATCAAAACTTTTATTAACTGTTATTTCAACATTTTTATTAACTATTTTGGTATTTTCATTTATAGTAGTTATTTTAACACTTTTATTTATAGTGATTATTTTATTATTTTTCTTAATAGCAGTTATTTTGGCACTTTTATTGATAGCAGTTTCTTCTAGACTTTATTTTCATTTGCATTTTCATTAACAGGTGAATAAATACTTTTTAAGTATTACAATAATCTTATAAGTTTAACCAAAATTAAAAAACAAGATTTATTTAATGTATTAATTTATATTATAATCTATTTTTATTAATAATTAAGTTATTTGTCACGCACATGATAATGTCACATATAGGGGTGACAATAAAAATAAATATATAGAAATACATCACTACTTCTGTGATAAATAGTAATCTAATAAGTGATCAATCTAGTAATCAATAACTTAGGTAGCATATCCACAAAAAAATTTATCTTATAAAGATAATTTAAATCAACAAAACACTTCTTTAGGATTATAATTAAGGCCAAGTAGGGGCATAGCTTATACTAACATCTCACAAGAAATTTTTTTGTTAGGATATATGATTCTATAGACAAATTTCAGGTTAGCTTTTCTTTAAAGAACAGAAAAGCATAATTTTTACGTTACACCTAATCCTTCGATCTAATTGGCCAAAAATCACATTCCAGTAAAATTTTTTGAGTTTATAGTAATCGCTTATGTACATATATATGTATGTAAGCAATTATTATTGTTAGTTTGAGTTAGTTTATATGCCCTTTTTTCAAGCTAATTTGCTTTTACAAGCACAAGCACACTTTTTAGTTTTCTTTTTTTTCACTACTATAATTCACAACTGATCAATATTTTTTATAATTCTCTTTCTCTTTCTAGTTAGGTAATAGTGCTTTTTTTCTCCTTCCTATCATCTACGTACATAATGGGGCGAAAGCCTTTTATAAGCATAAAAAACACTCTATTCATTTCACTGATAACCACCCAAAACAAAATGAAATGAATGATTATAGTTTAATAGTAAATGAAAGTTCATTTACTGATGTTATTTCTGAGAATCTGAAGAATCTAAACGTTGAAAATAACAATGCTGAGAACCTGAATATTGAAAATAACAATGCTGAGAACCTGAACGTTGAAAATGATAATGATGAACTGCCAACGGACAATTCTAAGAATACAAGTCACCATTTACCTTCAGTTCATATTGAGTTATACTGTGAAAAAACCTTCGAAACATGGGACAAATGTCAGGAGGTATTAGAATATTATGCAAAGCAAAATAACTTTGTAATTAGAAAGAAACGTGTTGATAATAGTCATGATTCTCACCAGCATATATAGGATTGTGAACAATCTGGTAAATACACTCCATATAAGAGCACCCTACCTGAAAAACAAAGAAATAAGGGTTCAAAAAGGATAAATTGTCCTTTTCTTGTTAACACATCTAAGAATAAGAGTTATGGAGATGAGATGGTAATCAAATTGAAGTCTATGTGTCTTGAACATAACCATACATTGGTTCCTGAAAATGCAGCTTTTGCCACGGAATATCGGAAGCTTACTACAGAAATAAAAGAACTTATTAAAAGCTATACACTCTGTGATGTTGATATCCCGTCTTAGGTTAGGTTGCTTCGTGGGTTGTTTCTCAAAGCAACAATAGTAGATTATGATGTAAAGAACTATGTTTATAAGTTTTGTAGAAATCATGAAATGGAGGGTAGTGATGCTGCAAAGCTCCTTCAACATTTTGAAAAAGAGCATTCCAAGGATCCTGATTGGTATGTTCAACTACTAATTGATTTAGAGACAAACAGGTTACAAGGCATATTCTATATGGCACCTAAACAATGAGAACTTTGGCAGTGTTATGCTGACATTGTTTTAAACAATAACACAGCATTAACCAATACTTATAACCTACCATTAAGCATTTTTGCTGTTGTCGATAATAATTTCAAATCACAGATTGTTGCACAGGCTGTATTACTTGATGAAACAAGTAAAAGTTATAGATGGGTATTACAACAGACAATCAAAGCTACTGAAGTTCAACCCAATGCCTTTATTATTAATGCTGATCTAGGTCTTGAGAGCGTAGTTTCTGAAATATTCCAGACACCTACCTTCTTCATTGTGTTTGGCATATTGGATGCAATCTTGAAAAACAATTGTCCAAACCTCTTGGTGACCATTATTCTGATTTTCTTAAAGCATTTTACCGTGCCTGAAATGTTTTATGCAAAGAGGCATTTGAGAGATATTGGCAACAAATAATGATTGATTTTCCAGAATCAACCGAATATCTGCTTAGACAACTTGATACATGTAAAACAACATGGGCAAAAGCTTTTACAGGCCAAGTTTTTACTGCAGAAATAATATCCACCCAATGGTCTGAATCCATAAATAGTATAATCAAACGAATGGTAAATGAAAAAACACAACTTTATACTTTGTTCAAATGAATTGAATCACATGTTGTGAAAGAACAATTTACCAGTCAATTTTCAGCTTGGTGTAAAAAAACATTAACATATGCAACATCAAATATTTGTAGAAGGCTTTTCCTGGATATTTACAACATTTTACAGAAATATGTAACACCTAAAATTTTACAATTGCACATTGATCAAATGAATAAAGCAGTTCTGTATAATAGTAAAAAGGTTGCCCTTGATAATCTGTATAATTTAACACTGGACATGGTCGAGAATGGGCTGATTGAAGTTGAATATGACTTACACCAAATACATTTTGAGGAGCTTCTTGAAAAAATTGATCATTCTTTAATAGCTGAAATTTGGAAAGTTCATTCCATTGAGAATAAGTTAAATATTGGACAATATGTAGTTTTATTAAAAAATGGCTTTCATTTATGCACCTGTATCTTGTTATTTGATAGTAGAATTGTATGTCACCATTGGTTCTATGTTATTTTACAATCAGAAAAAGGTCTTTTTCATATTTCTCTTATTCCAAACTGTTGGTATAAGGATGATGTAGATTTATTAGTTAATAATAAGCCATTTGTTAAAGCAAAATCAAATAAACATGATGATTTAACATCGAATGCATTAAGCATAACCTCATTTTCAGCTGTTGAAGAATCATGGAATACTATATTTATTGAACTACCTGAATAAGCTGCTGCAAAAGCCAATGGTCGAAAACATTTTATAAAAGGATTATTACTTAAACTTGCACACAAATGCGTGGAATTAGTTGATTATGATGATCCTAATGATCCTGATGTTTTGATAAAAATGTTTAAAGAATAGATTTACAAACATGAAGAAGTACAGTGTAGCAAAAAAATAAACCAGCCACAAAATACTGAAGATGATCAAGCTTCAGAATATGAGCAAGTAGATAATGAAGTCTTAGAATGCGATCTGGCTATGGAAGATGATCAATTGACAGAAGGCGATCAAGTTATAGAGCATGCACAAACATCTTATCTTGATGTTCAACGACATGTTGGAAAAGGTCACCCTGCAAAAAAGTGAATTAAGTCAGCAGTTGAAAGAAACAAAAAAATCAAAATAAAAAATGATAATTCATGTCGTACCTCCTGTCATTGTAGTGTTTGCAACAGTAGAAAGCATGACAAATGAAATTAACCTAGCAAATGATTAGTATGAAAAATGTAGTACTATTTTATTGTTTGGTTTCACTTTGTATACTTAATTGCATTAACTGTATTCATCAGGAAAATTTTAAAAGTGATATATATTGTTAGTAATCCCTAGATTACTAATGATATATAGCACTCCTGCTAAGTATCATCATTAGTGATTACTAATGATATATAACAAAATTTCGTTAAATTTTCTTAAACTTTGAATTTAGTTTTCTTGATAACTTGTGATTCAAATCGATTGAAATTTTTACTGTAAATAGTGTATATATTTAACTATATTATACTAAAGATTTAGCCAATTTGATTTAATTGTTCTTGAGAAATCACTTGTAAACGATAGTTGATTTTTTTAAAAAAATTAACTATCCTTTACAAGTGATTTCTCAAGAACAATTAAATCAAATTGGCTAAAACTTTAGTATAATATAAATGAATGTATGTACTATTTACAGTAAAAATTTCAATCGATTTGAATTACAAGTTATCAAGAAAACTAAATTCAAAGTTTAAGAAAATTTAATGAAATTTATACAAATCATTACTTATCGATAGTAATTATAATCATTTATAATCATTATATATCGATAATCATTATATATCACTAGTGATATATATTGATATATAACAATTAATCAATATATATCGATTATTTTCAATTGATATATATTGATTTAATGCTATATATCAATATATATCTGCTTAAAAATTTTACTGATATTAACTAGATTAATTTGTTTTATAATGTTAACAATTGTTATGTTTAAATTGTACTGACAACAAAATTTAATTGATAGTAGTTAACATGCACTAGTTAACTAAGAATGAAAGTAACGATGTAGTAAACCAAATTGTTCAATTTATTAAATGACAGAATCTAAATACCATTAAACTTATGCTTGATCTGCAATTCAGTTATTAATGAATGCATGTTCATATATAAGAATTGAGTTGCAGATCAAAGTGCAAGTTGAATGGAATTTGAATTCTGCTCTTCAACTTGCCAAATATTACCTCAGTATAGTGATTGTAATGAATTAGAGAAGATTGTTATTAAAAAATGCATCTAATATTGTAGCAAGTATTTCTGATCTAAGTATATTTTTATCGTAGTGTATATTAAGAACATTATTAATGGTATATATAGTTCTAAGAACTTATAAAATCTGTCTTTTATAATGAACCCTTTTCAATAGATAGGATTAGGATGTGTGCTAATATTGTTCTTCTTCATTTGAAGGTTATAGGAAAATATCATGTTCAAAGATTTATTTATTTTTTTATTAAAGTTGCCTTTTATAAATGAGCTTCTTTGATAGTTAGGGTTAGGGTATATGCTAAAATTGTCCTTCATATGGGGTTATAGGAAAAATATCTTGATCAAATATTTATTTTTTATTGAATTTCAGAGACGTCTCAATCTTCATCACATATTAGATATTTTACCAACTTGCATATTTCTATCTACTCACATCGTTATTATTTTATTATTTTTCTTAGAGTTTAAACTGATTATAAAAGGAAGATTAAATTGTTAACTAATATGTGTTTAAATCAGATACATAATAATGTCTTGTGCATGTGGTTGGTCAGGTTATGTTAATCATTGTTAATTATTGTCGTAACCTATAAATTTCCAAAAAAATCGTAAATAGCTTATAATTTTGCGATTGCTATAAATATCTCTTTAATTATTAAGTAAAACACGTTACAACATATATATTTTTTTTTTTGGTATTAAGGTAACCTCTTTGGTCTTTTGACTTTTATTAATCACTTATCAGTATTGCAGCTCAATGAACCACTACAGGAAAGCGTACAATTGGCTACACATGTAACATTTCTATATTACCTATTTAAGGAGTCTGCCCGAAGGTTCCCTACCAATTGCTGTACCTAACACCCCTGCTTGGGTGTTCCACTTTAAACTTTTTGAATCTGTAATCTGTGTTAACATCACTAGTCATCTCAGATGTACCAGATCATCATCCGCAATCTTAGGACTAATTTATCCTCGAGGTAAACCTCCCAGAGCCTTCTGTATCCATTTTTACAGCTGACCTAGGTATCGCT